AGCTAGTCAGGTGGCCTTGACAACACATGAAGCACGCGCAATCGGACTTCGCAGGCTTTTCATTCAACGCGCGTGCCTTGAACCCTCCAGGCTCCCCGCTCCGAACGTGCACCAAAGTTCAATTGTGAGCTTCGTTCTTCGTGCGGATGCTTGGTCGCTGCACTTTTTAGTGCAGGAGCACGTCAGAGAAACTAGCAAAAAATATTTTATATTCCCCAAGGCAGAAAAAAAAGAAGTCGCAGCTTTTCCTCAAAGGCGAAGCAATGAACGCGATAGCAACAACTTGGAAGGTCAGGCGCAGAATGGCAAGCACAGTGAAACGTGCATGCCGCGCGTATCTCAGCCACGGATAACGATAGAGTGACTGCTAAGCGATGCCCGACGCGGATATTGTGCCCAGGCAGTGTGAGGTAAGTGCTACCGGCCGCACCAGTGCCGGCCTGGTGGTCCGCGTGCTCAGGTTCCCCCATTCCACCACCGATGAACAAAAATTCACGAGCCGCTAATTAATTGCCTCTATTTCCGAAGGACGAGTTGAAAATAAAACTCCCAGCACATCAACGGCTGCCACTGAGAAACTTGATGGCATCGCAGCTTCATGAAGTGGGGATTATGGAGATGAAGGTAAGGGGTGAACGATTCTTTTTAAGTCTGAATTTTTTAAAAAAAGGCTGCAAAACAAAGAACACGAGGAGACAAGAAGTATTGAACACCACACAGCGTCTTCGCACAACTAACATTATTCAAAAGACGTCACGCTATTTTAACCATGACCAAGCGTCACGTGCTCGTAAGTGAATCATAGCCGAAAAAGAAAAACAACATGTGCCCCTGCAAAAAATAAAAGGAGCTCGAAAAACTGTCTTCGCATGCACGCTTTCTTAGTATAGGAATTACAAATCGGGGAACAAAGTTCACTGCCATACAGGACTATTCAGACGTGCTTACACACTGATTGCTGTAAGGGTGTACGAGTTGAAAGGGAATGAATTATTGATGACACCGGATCGAATGCAAATAGTTATCGAGTATTTTATGAATATTTATCATATATCAGGTTAACCATTTTCAAGCTGGTCCTAGAACACATTTTATTTCAAACAAATATACAAGAAATTCCAACAGGACTGTATGACTACTTTCAATCCACAAAAATTCACACAAATACGAAAACTAGGGTAAGCTTGTATAGAGAGGCGACCTCATAGGACTTCTCAACTGCAGGTTAAAATCAAGCATGCATCGACGTGAACAATACAATATTTGTCATATTCTATTGAGTAAAATTGAGAAACAAAACAGCTAAATTTAATCAAATGGAGGAACCTTTTATCACAACATTGCCTGCGCACCGAAAGCATGTGAATGGCAGTGTTGAAATCTACATATGCAAAAATATTTCACGCAAGAGCAGCGCATCATTTTCTTGATAAGGATGAAGTTGCATGTAGTTACAACTCGACGAACACAGCAGATGATTAATGCGATACAGCTTCACCATAGTGAAAAGAACAAGGCCTGTGTTTTCATTGTTGTTGTTGTTGTTGTTGTTGTTGTTCACCTATTTATCATGGCGCATTCCCACTTCGGTGGTTTGGCCAAAAACCGAATGGTTTTAAAAATTACTGATCAGATTTGCAATAATGAAGGTGTTTTTGAAAGAAGACAAGTTTGTTCGGCAATCAATCATCGAAAGTCTCGCAGTATCCTGGGCTCCTTACAAATAACCTCCAAAGTTAAAAGGAAAAAAAAATCTTTCACGCTGATGCTTTGTTTGTTTTGGGCTTACTCGGACAGTGCGGTTTATAAAAATTGAAAAAGCACCAGGCCTGTGCGGATGGCGCAGCAGAGTCCCAGCGAAAGCTAGAAGAGCGGCCTTTGACTGATTCAAGCACACTCGCTTGATGCCCACTACGGCAGTATTACAAAAAAAAATGGGTAGTAGGCCGGCATTTCCAATGCTATTTTTGGTCATTCTTCTGAGAAGCGAAGTATCCGATTACCTATTGCAGGAAATTTTGTGCCAATTGTTCATGCAGTGCCTGATGACGATGAATTATGCCTGAAGTGGGTATGGGTCAAAGTGAACAGATGAACGAAAACAAGCTCTGGTATCGGTTGGAGCATTGGACGACCTACTAGTTACGCTATTCGCATTGTGTGACGACTCCTTGTTCTTACGCTGTTTTAAAACGCTTTATAAGTCATGATAACGCGATTGCTTTCTCGACATCAAGCCTGCCTAAGGCGAGTTTGCCTTAGTGGCTCAGTGGTAGAATACTAGGCAGGCACGCAGCAGACCCGGATAAAAGATCCACTGTGTCATTGGTGCTAGTTTTTTTTTTATTTCGCGTGATGTGGTTACGGGTACCAAAGGCGGCGGCGGCGAACAACTAAGACGCTGCGCGAGACCCTAGTTGCAATGTCATAACAGCTTTATTATTTTTGAATATGTACCATTCCATTCGAGTGCCGATTGATATAATATGGTAATCGATGCGTTAAATGGAATATTTCATTATTTCCACACCCTAATTTTGTGTTAATATATATAGCCTGAAAAATTTGCCAGTACACTTTTTATGCCTAAAAACACATTTGGTGTCTGAGAAGTTCTGGGTCTAGCCACGTTGTACATGGTGTTGGGCAGCGTGGCTCTGCCAGGCTGGTCTAGTGGCTAAGGTACTCGGCTGCTGAGCCGCTGGTCAGTGGATCGAATCCAAGCAGTAGTGGCTGCACTTTTGATGTAGGCGAAAACGCAGGCGCTACTAAGATTTCGGTAAAAGTTAAAGAACCCAAAGTGGTCAAAGTTCCGGGGCCCGCGACAACGTTATCCCGAATAATCATATGGTGGTTTTGTGACGATAAACCCCACATATCATCATACCGTGTTGGTGCAGCGTGTGAGTACGCATTACCTTCCAGTGAACGCTTGTTTTCCGACAATAATGTATGTGTAATATGCGCACCGGCAAAGAACTAGATAAAGGGTCTCAAACGCATGACCCCCGAACCTTTCGCCAGCGACCCACGCCTTCACGGACGACTAAGGTATTATTACCTCGCTAAATAGTAGGCGCATTATTTTCTCGCGTATTGCAATATGCAGCGCTTTTTTTCGGATAAGCCACACAGACGAAACCGGTCTCAAGAAATCTTTGTCGTGATGCACGCCATACGCTCAGTATGAGCTTGAAAATCACCATGTGTCTACAATTATCTTTTCAGAATCAGCATCCTAATTTTAGGCTTTGAGTAAACAAGTATTGAAATGTTTTACTAAGTGTGACGTCAAATTCTTTTGAGAAATTACCATATAAAAGGTCAGAAAAGAGACTCGTTCAAATGGCAATGTTCGGGGACATTTTATTCAAACTCTTGTTCAGTCCTTCCTAATCTCATTGTCTTCACTGTCCCTGCCCTTGTGTGTCTTAATTTCATTACTGAGGCCCGTTAGCTCCGGATAGTTTGAGACCTCTGAACTATATCACACCAAAATCAAGCAATCTTGATGCCCTCTCAAAAGCTTCCCCTTTATTCAATAGAAGCCTTGGCGACATCTTCCAAGGTTAGGTACTGCCTAATGTGCAGCCAGCAATACTCATTCAGGTCTACCAAATTAGTTTCACCATCTCGTTGACCGAGGCTCTGAACACTGTTCTTGACGACGCCGCTGAGTCTCATGTATTCCTGCAGACCACGAATGCTGTTTAGCGCACGCTTGATCTTTGCGATGGCCTCCGTGGTTTCGACATCCGCTCTGTCCTCAACCAACTCCACAAGTTTCGCATGTCCGCAAACTCGTTCTAGTGCAGAAGCACAAAGGGGATCCCGGTCACCCAGCAGGAAGCGCAACGCTCGAGCGATAAGACCGCAGTTTCGCCTGGTGACATCTTGCACGATGATATTTTCTGTGTCGTACATTCTGCACTCTGGCAGCTCAACGTGAAGCAAGTTATAATTGCTCGTCATTCTTTGAGCAAACAATGGGGTGAAGCACTCGTTGACACCGTAGCCACACTTGACTAGCGACAGCTCGCTCAATGTTGGAATGCGCAGAGCAGCAATGACAAGCGTGTGACAATCCATCTTGCTAAGCGTCAGGCTGAGATTTAGTTTTTGCAAGTTCGTGTTTGACGCTAGCGCCCTCATCAAACTGCTGTCGGATCTCTGATATTGTGACGCAAACACGTGGTACCCTACCGGAAGTCGCAGCTCGAAGTTTTTGAGTGTGGGCACCACTCGGATGTATGCAGCAATATCGTTCATCAAACTTTCTTCGTATATATCAGCGAGAGTGTCGAACGCTGAGCGACGTTACATGAGGCACTTCATGAGAACACTGAATGCCGACCTGAACTCCTGAGCCTTTTCAATGTGATGGTAACTCAATGTCACTGTCGTCACGAGCGTGCACTCGGGTAGGGCTGGTATGTTTAAAGGCCTCACGTGCAGGTCGTCGATTAGCACTTTCCGTGAAAGCAGATGTGAGTTCATACAACTAAATGCTTCCCGCAGGTCCTTAAACACGGTGATGTTACGCACGATCGTACGTTGCAGCGTGTTGCTCGCTGCCACAGCACGGAAAAATTCACAGCACTCTTCCACAGCGAATCCTTGCAAGTCTATCACTAGCTTGTAGAGGAGAGTATTTTTCGCTAATGCTGAAATCCAAGGCAGCATCGCTTTAGTTCGCCTTGTGCGGAGCAATAGTTCGTCCAAGTACGTCGTCGTGAAACGCTCACAACAGTTCGCGCGCGTCACGGTAAGACTGCGCACAGTCTGGCTAGAGTCGACAACCTGTGCGAAAAACGCCATCTCTTCTGGTTCCATCAATCTCAAGTACGCGACAACTTCCTCTAGCACAGAAGCTTGTGCGATGGCTTGCACCACAATGTTGAGCCCTTCCCGATCCACCAAATGATCTGCTCTGAGAGTAACGTGCTTGAGTGTCTGGTTTTCTTTAGTTAAATACTCTGCGAACTTGTGAGCTGAGCCTATCAAACCAGACGATAAAATGCAGGTTCCACAGCGAGACTAGTAACTGTGCTGTTCTGCACCAGCATATCCACCAACAGCCTTGTGTACAGGTTGTTCACCTGCAAGTGTGCAACATCAAGAGACGTCAGGCTGGTTCCAGACCGCATTAAATCGAGCACCGAGATCACTAGCTGATGTAGAGGGTACGTGGATTGCGTACGAAGTTCAAGCTGCTCTATCTTGTTCAGCCGGCGAATCGTATTGAATAAGCTTACAAGTGCCTCCTGCTGAAAATTTAGTGGTCCCTGTATTCTCACTCTTTTTAGAGCTGGTGACTTCATCACAGATGTTGAGCAAAGAAGCGTTGCTCGCGATGACAGAATAATGTCTACAGTTTTTATGCAACTGTGTGAATTCAAAAGATCCTCTAAAAAGTTCTCAGCGACCCTCTGAGCTTCGGTGCAACGTCTATCGCCTGGTGAAATGGAGTGGACTTCACGAATGCTCACGAGCTGCATGCTCCCGAAGTCGGAGACGTCGAGCTCTCTCAGCTGAACTCCAAGATACCACAGCAGGCTGTTGTACTTCGAAAGATGATGGAATAGCTGACACACGCGAGTCTGAATGGTTTTTGTGCATGCTACCTATACGTACAAGGTGTGAAGATCTGCCATGTCTTCGGTCTAAGTCCTCCAGCGCATTCCCCGTCATGTTGCGTGTTTCACCCTTTGACCCTTCGCTGACTGAATGACGAACCACTGAATAATGACCTCACGTCGATCAGGGCTTGCGCTGCCGGGCAGTTACGGTGCACAACGGAAGGCTCTTGACAATAAGACTTTGCCAATGGAGGCTAGGGGAAGGCAGTGATGGGTACGCAATGATCTCTTGAACGTGTGGACAATAATGGCGGCTAGATCACTGGTTGCTGTCGTTGTTACTCATAGGCGGTTACCCATTACTCCAAGGTGGCACTAGAAAGAGATGGTAATGGTGACGTGTGACTCAGTTGAGCTGGTCCCGTAGAGTGGGTTGCGCTGAAGTATTAGACGGAACCAATCTACCAACCAACCAGTCAAGCAGCTAGCACCAGGAGCATAGGCTGCAACGCTCACAGTTACCGATTTCGCCCAGTACATGTGCTGACACGCTGTTGAATCGTTTTCATATGAGAGTGTTCACTTTGATTTCAATAACAAGGTCGGCGAAGAACAGAAAAATGTTGAACGCTTGAGCTTAGCCTTCGCGAGTAGATCACGATAACGTAATCGTGTCTCGTGCGCATCGCTTTCCGAACTTCCACACTTCTCGGTGCATGCCTCCACTTCGCCTCAAAGAAAGGAAACGACAGTGCGCGAAACACTGGCCGTTTAAAAGTACCATTGAATACTCATTAAAGATACAGTCAAGGGCCCACTACGGCCATAATTATTCGTTTTGCGAATCAGTGAGCGGGCCACTATGCGTAAATAGGGGAACACAAAATCTCATGCAGCTGTTCATTTTGCAAATGGTTCCTAAGCTGATGATGATTTGGCATATATGAGCGTTTTGTAATGGGCCACCCTTCGAAAAATCTCCTTATTGCTCAATTCACCTGTTCTGACGTGTGGCGTGGTTCTGTGCTCTGCCACGCAATATAATGTCACACACGAAGGACCGTGGACACATGACAGGAACAGCAAGGGAAAGACACGAACGTGTATCGCGAACAACCGATGTGATAATAATTATGGCCTAAAAGCGCAGTGCACAATCACTCTGGGGGATTGGCTAAGGAAGGTTAACTGAGATAGTGGATCACATAATATTTTAAGTCTAATGATTTTTAAAATGGTTAAAAGAAATAAAATTTTACTAATTAAGAGATTTGCAATCAAAACCACCTTGATTCAATAAGGAATCTTTTTACAGCAAAACAGATATCCTCGTGAGAATGACCTAATAAGGAGATTTCCAAGGAGAGAATATTAGAAGTTATTAAATCCAATCTAATTCAAATGAAAGCCCATTTAAGAATGTTTTTCGTGAGTGACTTGAAGGGGCGACGCGATAAAAATATTGCTGGATTGTTTCATTCTTGTTACAGAATGAGTAAAGAGGGGAAGGAGTCAAACCAGCTCTATGCATGTATTAATTACACTGTAGTGAAGTCTACAGTGTAGTTTCAAAAAAATTAACATCTTTGCGTGTTGAACAGAACTTCATATGCCAAAGGATCAAAAGGTGTCGAGATTCCCTCAGGTGAGTGATTAATATTTTACCACAGTCTTAAAATATGGCATGCCTTCAATATCTGTCACGTATTATGAGTGCGGCTGTGGAAATAACTGAAAGTACCGAACCACCGAGAGCGGCTTTTGCTAGAGCATCCGGTATTTCATTCATTTTTATTTCCCCGTGTCCCGGAACCCAGACCAATCTCCTTAAAGTTATATCAGTTGGGACGAGAAAGTGAAACGTGCGTGATAAATACGAGTCACTATTGGAGGCGGGCGCCGAACACAAAGATAACAAATCGGTACCTATGGCTAGACTTGAAGATGGTGGGCTGAGTTTTCTTAATGCCATAATCACCGCCGTGAATTCTGCCGAAAATACTGACAAGAAATCGGGTAGTCTTCGTGAGAAACACCACTTGAAGGTCTCAGAGAAAATGTCATTGCCATATTTCTCTTCAGATTGCGAGGCATCTGTAGCTATAAAATAATTATATTTAGCTCGGACCTTTAAGCACAGCTCTGGGCGGTCCATTGTGCCCGCGACACGGCAGAGGAGCAAGGTCTTTCTGTCCCGACGTGGGAGTGGCCCGCTGCGCGCTAAACGCACGCACCGAAGACCATAATCAAATTATTCATTCATCCATCGATCTCTTATAAATTATGTTGCAGAAGCCCGTTTATTAAATGTGTCGATAACATTTTCTCATGATTTAGATATATATCATCAAACATAATTTCGGATTCTGCCTTTTTTATTTTTTATATAAATGATTAGCCGCAGTAGGCATTATTGCGGAGGGCACAGCGCCTCATAGAATGAATACGCAGCCTTACAGACAACTAAATCAGCTGGGAACATACTCCATTCTACAATGACTTGCGGAAAAAAGTATGCTTAAACAGATTCGTTCTGGTGCTGTATGACCGTAGTTTAAATGTGTGGTCATGACGAAAGGAATTATAAGGCGCTGGTTTTAAGTATTCTGAAGGATTATTGCCTGTTTTCTTGTTATAGATTGAATAAAATAGTTTCAATCTTAGACTATGTCTTTGGTATTGTAAGTATTGCCAATGAAGTTCTCTTTCCATACATTGAGACCTTTCAGTTCGGTCATATTTTCCCAGAACAAATCTTGCTTTTTATCGACTGAATGTGCTCTAGTGCATGAATGTGTACTTTGTGAAACGGATCACACACACGACAGGCGCATTCCAGTATTGGTCTAACATAGGCGTAATATGCGGCCTGTTTAACTTCCTTGGTTACGTGTTTAGGTTTTTTTTTTGGAAAAAACCTAGGGCTCTTCCAGCTCTGCTGAGAACAGTGGCAATGTGTTCAGACCATCCCGCATCCTTAGAAATTGTGACACTCAACTACTTGTATTTGTGTTCTTTCCTAATAACTTCATTGTTTAAGATGTACTGATTTTTAAACCTATTGACCCATTTGGTGAAACTGAGGTGAATGCATTTATTAGTATTTAATACTATATCATTATTTTTACACCATAGCTCTACGTGATTAAGGTCATCCTGAAGCTGGGCGGAATCCGTTTTGTCGGTCTGTTCAGTATACAACACACATGCGCCAGCAAACATTTTACTACTACACCTAATTGTATCTGAAATGTAATTAAAAAACACAAGAAAGAGAAGTGGGCCACGTACGGAACCCTGAGGTACCCCTCATGTCACCGAAACTAAACATGAACATGATCCACCTTGAATAGCCTTATGTTTTCTTAAATTTAAATAGTCCGCAATCCGTCGGCAAATGGTTTGACGAATGTTTAATTTTCGCAGTTTTTTAAATCAACATAGAGTGTGATACCGTATTGAAGGCCTTTATGAAGTCCAAAAATAAACAATGAATCTGTCCTTGGTTATTTAAAGTGATGCTATATCATGATAGAATTAAATAATTGGATCGTACATAAAAAATCCTGCCTAAATTCGTGTTGTTTAGGATAAAAAAGTGTTAATTGAAGTCAGGTGATTCATCAAAGCAGAAAAAGAACATGTTCAAGTACTTTACTAGAAATTGGCGTCAGAGAATTAAGTCTCTAATTTGAAACGTCTCATCTAGAACAACTTTTGAAAATGGCCATAACATTAGCTATTTTCCAGTCATCAGGAACCTTGCCTTCATCGAGTGATATTTGTAGATAACATAAATATAACAAGCTACTGCCTCCGGGCAATGTTTTAAAACTCTTGGTAACAAGCCATCTGGTCCAGTCTTTACTTTCATCAATTTGCTGTAACAACTTCACTATGCCATTGAATGAAAGCTCTACGTCAGCCATAGGCAAAAATTATTCTTTTTTATTCGCGACAATCACTTGTGTAGGAGGGCAGAAAAGCGATTTAGAAGAGTTGTGGAAAAGTGTGGCTTTATCTCTATACTCAGATACAATATTGCCACCGTAACGTAGATTTAGTGGACAAACCTTCTCCGACTACCACATCGTCTCATACACTTCCAAAACCTATTCTTATAAAAAGTCAGCGGCCAAACTCCTAAAATACTTTTTCTTGGCTCCTTTCAGTTTAATTTTATAAAGTGCTGTCAGATATTTCATTTTATTCAAATTTTCAGGGGTTTTATTTTGGCTATATTGGGAAAAGGGCCTCTTGCACTTTTTGAAAAGCTGAATAAGATGTCCAATTATCCAAGGTTTCTTTGTTTTGCTTAGTTTATTGCTTGAGACGCTCGGGACGTGGCACCGAATTAGCCCAGTAATGCGTTCCTTTACCACTTGCCATAGCTTCTCAACAGTTGCTTCGTCTGCACTGCTTTCAAAGAACAGAAATTGATGCTCAATTTCCAGTGATATTTGCTCATAGCTTGCTTTACTATAAAAGAAGATTCTCCTGAATTCACATTTATTTGCACA